ATATAAAATACACAAAATATATATAAAATACACAAAATATATATAAAATACACAAAATATATATGAAATACACAAGATATATATAAAATGTGTATAAAAAGATGTAAGAAATATAAGCAGGGTATTCTGGGAAGGTGGTATTTCAAAGCAGACGTGTTTGGTCTCAGCGTTGCAGCGCTCCGGAATCACGGCACGTTATGGAATTACTGTGGGGGGAAAAAAAAACCCCTGGAACCCCAATTCCAGGAGCGTCCAAGGGGCTGGGAACTTCTCAGGGCCTGCTGCTGGGTTCCTGCCCTTCCTCCTGCTCTCCCAGTGCCGGCTCATCCTCCCCGGCGCCCCGGGGAGCGGCGTGACCTGCCCGTGCCCGGCGAGGCGGCAGCGGGGTTTTGGCAGCGCCGAGCGTGTCCCTCCCCGGGCAGGGCGAGCCCAGAACCCGTCCGGCTGCATTTCCCCCACGCATCCCAGCAGGTCCCTCCCTGGGGCTGGAGCCGAGCCCCGGCGGCTCCCGCTGACGCATCGTCTTGTGAGCTGAGGCGGCTGAGCCCTCGTGGCTCTGCCGGTGGCACGGGTGGGTTTAACCCGGGCCTTGGTTTCTCCCGCCGTTTTCCAGGTGATCGAGGATTTCTACAACCGCACGTGGCTGTACCGATACGAGGAGCCCATCAGCCCCGCCACCCTCACCACGCTCTGGTCCCTCTCCGTCGCCATCTTCTCCGTCGGGGGCATGATCGGCTCCTTCTCCGTGGGGCTCTTCGTCAATCGCTTTGGGAGGTGAGCACAGAGCCTGGAGGGTCCCTGGAGGGTCCGTGGTGGGTCCCTGGAGGGTCCGTGGTAGGTCCATGGTGGGTCCGTGGTAGGTCCATGGTGGGTCCGTGGTGGGTCCCTGGAGGATCCATGGTGGGTCTGTGGTGGATCCATGGTGTGTCCGTGGTGGGTCCATCGTGGGTCCCTGGAGGGTCCATGGTAGGTCCATGGTGGGTCCGTGGTGGATCTCTGGTGGGTCCATGGTGGATCCGTGTTGGGTCCATGGGGAAACTGTGGTGGATCCGTGGTGGATTCATGGTGGGTCTGTGGTAGGTCCCTGGGGGATCCGTGGTGGATCCATGGTGGACCTCAACGAGGGGGTTGTGCAGCCTCACCCCGTGCTGGCATCCCACTAGGGTGGGTTTGGGCACCTCCCTCCTGCCCGGGGCTGATGTTGGGGTTCTCCCGGTGTTCCTCATGGTCCTTTTCCCATCCCTCCCCAGACGCAACTCCATGCTGATGTCCAACATCCTGGCCTTCGTGTCGGCTGTGCTCATGGGCTTCTCCAAAATGGCTTTCTCCTTCGAGATGCTCATCCTCGGCCGCTTCATCATCGGCCTCTACTCCGGCCTCACCACCGGTTTTGTGCCCATGTACGTGGGTGAGGTGTCCCCCACTGCGCTCCGGGGGGCCCTGGGGACCTTCCACCAGCTGGGCATTGTCCTGGGCATCCTCATTGCTCAGGTGAGTGATGGAGAACTTTTTAAGGGGGGTGTTTCCCCTGTTTTTAGCACTGGTGCTCGAAAGGTCTGCAGGGACGGGGTACTGTAGGTCTGCATGGCCCTCCAGGTGGAGCTGGGGTGGGATGGTTGGAGCTGGAGCTCAGCAGGAGCAGGGTTGGGATGGTTGGAGCTGGAGCTCAGCAGGAGCAGGGTTGGGATGGTTGGAGCTGGAGCTCAGCAGGAGCAGGGTTGGGATGGTTGGAGCTGGAGCTCAGCAGGAGCAGGGTTGGGATGGTTGGAGCTGGAGCTCAGCAGGAGCAGGGTTGGGATGGTTGGAGCTGGAGCTCAGCAGGAGCAGAGTGGGGTGGTTGGAGCTCAGCAGGAGCAGAGTGGGGTGGTTGGAGCTCAGCAGGAGCAGAGTGGGGTGGTTGGAGCTCAGCAGGAGCAGGGATGCTGTGGGATCCGAAGGTTTGGGATGGGCAGCACTGGGATATGACGTCTGTTGGCTGCCTGGAAGCAGCACAGCAGCTGTGTCCCCACAGTGGGTGTCCCAGCACCCATGGGCAGCAGAGTTGGGTCTAGCCGGGACTTTTCCAGCTGGGAAAGGGTGGCTGAACCCCTCCCATCGTCCTCAGGTGTTCGGTTTGGACCTGATCATGGGAAATGACTCGCTGTGGCCTCTGCTGCTGGGCTTCATCTTCGTGCCTGCCCTGCTGCAGTGCATCATCCTGCCCTTCGCCCCCGAGAGCCCCCGGTTCCTCCTCATCAACCGCAACGAGGAGAACAAGGCCAAGAGTGGTGAGTGACCCCTCCCCGAGCCTGTTCCCCAGCACTGGAGGGTCCTCGGCTGCTCCTCACCCCGCCCGTCCCCCCCCTTAGTCCTCAAGAAGCTGCGGGGCACGACGGACGTGAGCAGCGACCTGCAGGAGATGAAGGAGGAGAGCCGGCAGATGATGAGGGAAAAGAAGGTGACCATCATGGAGCTGTTCCGCTCGCCCATGTACCGCCAGCCCATCCTCATTGCCATCGTCCTGCAGCTCTCCCAGCAGCTCTCGGGCATCAATGCGGTGAGTCTCGGGGTTGCAGGCTCAGGATCACAGCATATTCCAAGTTGGAAGGGACCCACAAGGATCGTGGAGTCCAGCTCTTAAGTGAACGGCCCACGCGGGCGTCAAACCCACAACCTGAGCTCACTCAGGGTCAGGTCGTTTCACCCACAACCTGGGTTGTGTTGGCTCCAAGACCTGACTCGAGGCGCTTCCCTGCCCTTTTTAGGTTTTCTACTACTCCACCAGCATCTTTGAGAAGTCAGGGGTGGAGCAGCCCGTCTACGCCACCATCGGCTCCGGCGTGGTGAACACGGCCTTCACGGTGGTCTCGGTGAGTGTTGGCCCCCTGAGATCTTACTGGGGCCTTTCCTGCAGGCTGGGGAGGTGCTGATGATGTGTCTCCATCCCCCAGCTGTTCGTGGTGGAGCGGGCCGGGCGCAGGACCCTGCACCTCATCGGCCTGGCGGGCATGGCGGGCTGTGCTGTGCTCATGACCATCGCCCTCACGCTGCTGGTGAGTGCTGGGTGCTGAGGGGACGGGTGGGCTGGGAGGGAGAGGAAGGACTTATCTTCCTTAGGGTGATGGCTGAGGTCCCAGAATTCCCATCTCCTGCTGGGAGAAGCCTGGTGGCTCCTCTGCCAGCACTGGATTGCTGCTGTCTCGCACTTCAGGTGCTTCATGCCCCTTCTCCACACTGACCTTCTCCCTCTCCCTTGCCCAGGACCAAATGCCCTGGATGTCCTACCTCAGCATCGTGGCCATCTTCGGGTTCGTGGCCTTCTTTGAGATCGGCCCTGGCCCCATCCCGTGGTTCATCGTGGCCGAGCTGTTCAGCCAAGGCCCCCGTCCTGCGGCCTTCGCGGTGGCCGGGCTGTCCAACTGGACCTCCAACTTCATTGTGGGGATGGGCTTCCAGTACATCGCGGTAATCACGGGGGGACCACGGGGGGAACGGGGGACACGGGAATCCGGGTGTCTGGAGGGACTCAGGTGTCCCCGGGGGGTCCCAGGAATCTGGGGGAGTCGCAGTCCTGCACACCCAGACTGGGTTGGGTCTGGATGGTCCCAGATCCCGGTTCTGGATCAGGGATGGAGGTGGTGTCTGGCTGGATCCTGATCTTGGGTCCTGGTGGTGGATCCCTGTGCCAGACTCAAGTGCAGGATCCCACTTCTGTGTCCTGCTGCCAAATCCAAGTGCTGGGTCCGGCTGCTGGATCCCAGTGCCAGATTTTGATGTTGGATCCTGGTGTCAGATCCCGGTGCTGGATCCCAGTGTTGGATCTCAGGGCCATGTCCTTGAGCCCTAAAACCTGGGCTGAGGTGGTTTGGTTGGGGAGATCCCTTGGGGAGAGGGGTGGGGCTGGGACCTGGGGAAGGAGCAGGGGTTGGACTCCATGATCCTGATGGATCATCCCAACTTGAGATGTTCCATGAAAGGAGGACCTGGATGGTCAGGGTGGTCACCAGCTGGTCCTTCAGCTGTGGTCCAGAGGGGGGAACGGAGCTGGGGAAGGGTCTGGAACACTAGGAATGTTTGAGGGAGCTGGGGGGGCTCAGCCTGGAGAAAAGGAGGCTCAGGGGGGACCTTCTCACTCTCTGCAACTCCCTGACAGGAGGGTGGAGCTGGAGGGGGTCAGGCTCTGCTTCC